CCAAATATCTGAGGGCCTCCTCTGGCTCAGGAACTAGGTTAGGCATCGCTTGAAAACGCAGGTTCTAACTTGACAGGATGACTCATGGTGCCTTGTGACATAAATGCCTGCGGGCCAAGGTGGACCCCTTTTAATAGGATTCTCAAATCTCACTTCTGAAAAGGGGAATAGAAGTTTTTGGTTTTCCCCAAAGAGGAGAAGAGTCAGAGGACCAGCCTAAGTTAGGAAATCTTGCCTCAAGCTGTTCAGGGGAAGTTCAGCGGGGATGAGGGAACTTGTTTTAAAAGCTCTCCTCTCATCGTTAGAACGCACACTCATAAATAGGCACACCAAAGAGCTGTATGCTTCCCAGCCAGCAGTGCCCGGTGCTGGGAGAACAAAGTACCTCCTCTGGGGCTTCTCCTTCCAGCAGGTTCAAGGACCATGGAGGCAGAATACCAACTCTATCAGAGTGCCTGTCTAGACCAGACCCCTAAACAAAAGCTTACATTAGTTGTGAATAGGCAAACCCCATAAAGAAAAATAGGCGGCCCGGATAGTGTGGCTCAGTGGTTGAGCATTTACTTATGAACCAGGAGTTCACAGTTCGATTCCCGGTCAGGGCACATGCCCGGGTTGCTGGGCTCAGTCCCCAGTGAGGGGTGTGCATTAATGTTTCTCTCCTCCCTCTCTGTAATCAAAAAAGAAAAGAAAAAAGAAAAATAGGCCTTCTCTCTCCAGGGTACAGACCTGTGCCATTCCCTTCCCTGTGCCATCCCCCACAGGCACGTATCCCCTAACTTCTAGGGGCCTGCTGTGATTGCAACCAGGGGAGCAATGGGCAGTGGCAGCTCGTCCCGGGCTCACCCCCTGAACCGTGTCCAAGGCCCCCCTTTCTCTGCCTGCCCAGTGAGCCACCGCGGCCCCACCTGGGCTCTCTGTTGCTTCTATGCCCTTCCTTGTTGCACTCTCCTAAGTGTGTTTCTGCTGCGGTCAATAAATTCTTGCTTCCTTTTTTACACACAAAAAAAGGGAAAATGCATTCTTGTTTTTTTCCTTTATTTTCTTATTAAAAAAAAAAAAATTTAAGTTCCTGGTTTTCAGGCACAATGCTCAGTGTTGTCGGCTCTCAGAAGCAACTATCGATATAAGGCTTCCTGGAAGAACTTGGAAATAAAATTGTCCTTTCTGAATTACTGCTGAGATCAACATTTCAATAAATTAGAGTAGAAGTATGCAGTCACCACCTCCAAACAGACGGTGTTTGGGTGGGTGTCATCCGGGGAAGCGAAAACTCGAGCCCGATTTCCAGTGTCGGGAACGAGGCCATTTCGCAGGTGGTCCCCAGGCCCTGAGAGCTGGTATTTCTGTTTTAACTGTATCCTTATCTGCCTGAAGCCTAGGCAATGAATGCGTTTAACTCCCCTCGTTTTGATTCACCTTCATAATTATGTTTCCGTTTCCCACATGGGTCTGCCTGGAGAAGGGAAGACTGCTGGCCACAGCTGCAAGTTTTCCGTTTGTAAATTGGCATCTGTTTCCCCATACATACCCTGGTGTGGTGAGCTTGGTTTCGGAGATCCGCCCCGAGAGATGCTGATGAAATTGGTTTCTGAGCCTGCAATCCCGGGAATCACTATAGACTACATTCTCCCAAGTAATGCCACCTCCGGAGGCCTCTTGGGAAGCAGCCAAGCGACTCTCCAGACAACGCCTTCTCCATGGATGAGAGGCCAAGGAACTATTTCCCCTTTTTAAAAATTTCTAGTCGGAGTTTTATTATAGTTTTTAGTTAAGAAGACCAGTTTAAATACAGTCAAACCAACCATTTCAAGTGAATAACTGCTGTGTATTAGACATTCTGCTTGAGTATCTAACAAACATGCTCTCTCTCTCAAAAAAAAAAAAAAAGGATGGCTTTTTTAAAGACAGAACTACACTTAAAGTGGGGGAGGGGAGCTATTATGGGTTTTAAAATATTTACACATACCAACCAAATTCGGTGACAGCTTTAGAGCCTTTTGCAAACAAACTGTGTTAGGCAGAATAACAACCCCCACTCTCACCTCTCACCCCAGGGACCTGCGTATTACCTTACATTGAAGAGCCTTTGCTGGTGTGATTAAGATAAAGGGCCTGGACTGGGGAGATTAGCCTGCGTTATCCAGGTGGGTCCTTTATGATCACCTGGGTCCTTAAAACCTGAGATCCTTTCCCGGCTCGGGTCAGAGGGAGAGATGACCACAGAAGAAGGGTCAGAGATGCAACAGGGCTAGCTCCGAAGATGAGAGTGGACCATGAGCCAAAGAATGTCGCCTCTAGAAGGTGAAAGAGGCAAACAAGCAGGTTCCTCCCTAAAACATCCAGAAAAGAATGCCCTGCTGGCCCCTTCATTGTAGCCCAGTGAGGAACATGTCAGACTTTCAACCTAGTACAATGGTAAGATATTGATTTTGTTCTAAGTCGTTAAATTTGCAATAACTTGTTACAGCAGCAATAAACACTAACACACAAACTCAAAAAGATACTCGAGTTTTTTTTTTTTGTTTTTTTTTTTTAAGTTGGGGTTGGTTATTAGATGGAATATTAAGGAATTAATGTTAATTTTTGTTAGGGCATAATAGTATTTGGACTACCTTTTAAACTCTTGTTAGATTTTCATACTGAAGTATTCTAGAGATGATATGATTCAGTATCTGACATTTGCTTTAAAATACTGCCCTTCTCACCTCAAAAAATAGTGGGAGAATAGGTAAGATGCTAAATTAGCAAAAGGTTAATTGTTGAAGGTGGGGCTCATGATATTATCTTCTTTCTGTGTACACTTGAGATTTTCTGTAGATTAAAAAAAAAATGAACTAACCTAAGAGAGACCACTTGTGTGATAATGAAAATGTTATATATCAACACTGTTCAGTGCAGTAGCTACTCGTCATGGAGCTATTGAGCACCTGAAATCTAGCTAGTGCAACAGAATACTTTTTTTTGTTATTATCTTTATTTTAAAATATATTTTATTGATTTTCTACAGAGAGGAAGGGAGAGGGATAGAGAGTTAGAAACAGCACACTCCCTACTGGGGATGTGCCTGCAACTAAGGTACATGCCCTTGACCAGAATGGAACCTGGGACCCTTGAGTCTGCAGGCTGATGCTCTATCCACTGAGCCAAACCAGTTAGGGCTAAAAGTCTTAATATAAATTCCCATAAAAATACTTCTTAGCTCTGGCTGGTGTGGCTCAATTGGTAGGGCATCAACTTGTGCACTGATAGGTTGTGGGTTCGATTCTTGGTCAGGGCACATGCTAGGGTTGCAGGCTCCATCCCCAAGAGGAGGTGTGAGGTATGCAGGAGGCAGCTGATCAATGTTCCACTCTCAAATAGATGTTTCTCTCTCTCTCTCCCTCTTTCTTCCTCTCTGTCTGAAAAAAAAACACAAAAACTTATATATGAGGGTCATTAGCAAAATAATAAGACTAATGGCACTGCTATCTAGATTGAATTGTGTCCCCCAGATTTTGTATATTGAAGCCCTAACAACTCCCCTCTCCCCCCATCTGACTGTACTGGAGACAGGGCTTTTAAGGATGTGGTTAAGGTTGAATATGGTCATAAGGGCTGAATCCTGATGTTACAGAGTGCTGCCCTTTTGAGAAGAGGAAGGGACAGCAGAGCTCTCAGCCAGGTGAGGACAGTGAGAAGGCAGCTATCTGCAATCCAGGAAGAACCTCGCCAGAACCCGACCATGCTGGCACCCTGCTCTGGGACACGCAGCCTCCAGAGCTGTGAGAAAAGGACTCTGTTGTTAAGCCGCCCAGGCTATGGCATTTGCTAAGGCAGAGAGCAGACTAACACAGGCACCCAGTACAACCGCCCAGGGGCCGTCCCTACCAGTTCCTTCTTCAGGGTGAAGTGGACCTTGATTAGAAAAAATTGTGATGTATTAATGTTTTTTTATTCTGCTCCCATTCTTTTTCTTTTTTTTTTAATATATATATATACATATATATATATATATATATATATGTATATATATATGTGTGTGTGTGTGTGTGTGTGTGTGTGTGTGTGTGTGTGTGTATATATATATATATATATATATATATATATATATATATAGATTGATTTCAAAGAGGAAGGGAGAGGAAGAGAGAGATAGAAACATCAAAGATGAGAAAGAGCCGGAGCCGGTTTGGCTCAGTGGGTAGAGCATCGGTCTGCGGACTGAAAGGTCCCAGGTTCGATCCCGGTCAGGGGCATGTACGTTGGTTGTGGGCACATCCCCAATGCCGGGGGTGGGGGGTGGGATGGGGGTGGTGGTGTAAGAGGCAGCTGGTCGATGTCGATGTTTCTAGCTCTATCTCTCTCTCCCTTCCTCTCTGTGGAAAATCAATAAAATATATTATAAAAAAAAAATTTAAAAGATGAGAAAGAATTACCAATCGGCTCTTCCACACACCCCAACTGGGGATCGAGCCCAAAACTCAGGCATGTGCCCCTGACCAGAATCGAACCTGGGACCCTTCAGTTCGTAGGCCGACGCTCCATCCATTGACCCAAACTAGCCAGGGATCTGTTCCCATTCTTGATTTCAGCTTAGTCTGGAGTCACTTTTCAACTGGGTTTTACTTTTTATTTTAATTTTCCTTTAATATATTTTTATTCATTTCAGAGAAGAAGGGAGGGATAGAGAGACAGAAACATCAATGATGAGGATCATTGATTGGCTGCCTTCTGCACACCCCACACTGGGGGATTAAGCCCGCCACTGGACATGTGGCCTGACCAGGAGTGGAACCGTGCGTGACCTCCTGGTTCATAGGTCAACACTCAACCACTGAACCACGCTGATAGGGCTGGTTTTTACTTTTTTAAATAACAAAAAGAACAGCCCAGCTATCTTGAATCTCACTATCGACTGAAGTGTATTATATTAATAGTATAGATTTTAGTGATATTAAGGAACTAAAATTATATTTTAAATGGGAGAAAATGCTGATAAATGACACAGTGTCAAATTATAGTATTGATCTTTTTTAATTTTTCAGACTTAAAATAGGTTAAGAAAGTAAAATTCTCCTAAGTACTGATTCATAGGTGTTCAGAAGTGGCACACATTCAGTTTCAGAGTAATATTCAGTGATCCCCTAAATGCAATTGTAATCCTGAATTTAAGCCAAGTACAATAATTTAATACAATAAGCTAAATACACACAAAAGCTCTATATCCTGATCTACAAAAGTAGTTTCCATAGCCACACATAGTTTAGACAAATACACATTTCCACAATGAACAAGTACTAACAAATGTTAATAAAACACCTAAATGCTTGTCTTGCCATTAGCTTTTTAACAATGCCATTCCTGCTACTGAAAGCATTTATTTTTATACTGAAGGGAAACCTGGCCTGGGAAAATTAGTTTTCTTAAAACTTGAAAAATAGTATAAGCCCAAGAGGTTTTAAATCAAAAAAGTCTTCAACATGAAGCACTCACATGAACCTTTTAATTTCTCCCTCCAAAAAAGCATCCTATCCAAAGGAAAGAATATTAAAACGGAGTATTACCTTAAGATAGATAAACATTCCTACAAAAGACTGTATTTTCTTCTACATCTTCTCCTTAAAAGAAACACAAATCATTTCCCTATCTTTTAATAACCTTTCAGATTACTGCCGTCTTAAAGCTTTTAACTTTTAATTATCATGTCTTAGCTATCAGAAAGTCAAAGATGCCATTTAGAGGTCACATATTAAAGAGCATGCCCTGGAGAGGGAAGTTGAAGGGGGTCAAAGGGGAGATAAAGGGAACATATGTAATACTTTCAACAATAAAGAATTATTTAAAAAATAAAGAGCATGCCCTACAACGGCAAAATACACCTGATACATAAATACTTGTTTAGAATTCAGCCATCGCCAACCTTTCCGACCTCATGGACCACCAGTGGTCCAAGGACCAATGGCTGGCAACTGCTGGTTTAGATAGTCAAAAGTCAGAAGGTACTAACTACATGGTTTGCAATCCTTTAACTTATGTATGGTCATTAAAACCCAATAAGTAATTCAGGTATGGTTGTATAATGGCAGGTAGTTAAAGGCTCCAATAACACTTTTTTTTTAATTAAAAAAAAAAATATATTTTTTTAATTGATTCAAGAGAGGAAGGGAGAGGGAGATAGAAATATCAATGATGAGAGAAAAATCACTGATCGGCTGCCTTGGGGATCCAGCCCGCAACCCAGGCATGTGCCCTCAATTGGAATGGAACCTGAGACCCTTCAGTCGGCAGGCCATTGCTCTATCTACTGAGCCAAACAAATTAGGGCTCAAATATCACTCTTAAACAGAAGACATGAAAATAAAGGTGGGAAACTTTGTGCTTCTCCACCTTCCACTTACATCGCTAGTGATCGGGACCTTACTATGGAAAACATGGTTATGTATTCAGTCTCCTCAGAAGACAAGGAAGCTTCAGCAAGTCTAGAAGTTGTCAAGATCCATAGTTTGCTTCATCAAATGCTTTTCTAGCTCGTTTCAATTCTTCATTCATAGTGAGCAAATCTTTAACTCTAGCAAACTTCCTTGGGTCCTTCCGAATCAAAAAGACGATATCTTCAACTTGGACCCGCCCTTGTCTTCCAATTGACATGGCCTTGTGAGTCTATTTCAAAAAAGCAGATTAAATTCAATTGACTTTTAAAATATAATATTTTACTGTTTTAATTTGCATGCATTTATCATTCTTTTTTAAATTTGCATTTTAATACTGGTGAGTTTGAAGATTTTTCTCTTCTATTATTGCTATGCATTGGTGAATTATCTTCTATTCATACCTCTACCCACTTTCTACTGTGTGATTAGCACTGTTTCTCTTAATGCTTTAATATTTTTTAATTTTAAGGACACAAAAACTATCAAATTTACTGATGTTTCTTTGTTTAATTTTTGATATGTAGTTTTTGCCTTCAATATGTAAAATAATTTTGTAATTTCTTTGTAATCACCCATTTAATTTAAAATTTGTGTCTATCTCAATATGGGTGGCTTTCTTAAAATCAAATCTCACCCCCTATCATTATATATTAATCCTGTGCAAAAGCAAAGGTTCCTCATAGCATTATTCCTATGACTAAAGAAAGGGAAACTAAATATTAAGGCTTTAAATAAATTTGAACACAACCATTCAATTTTATGAAACCATTGAAAATATAGTGCTATGCAATGACATGGGGAAAATTTCCTAGGTTTACTTAAATAGAAAAAAAACAACAACAACAGGTTATAAGACTGTATATAACTATATATTGTAATTTCAATTTTATAAATTTTAAAAATGTATAAAGACAAAAAAGAATATTCACCAAAATCTTAAAAATTATAAAGCCAGAATTTCCAAAAAAAAATCTTAAAAATTTATAAAGACAAAAGAATATTCACCAAAATCTTAGCATTAGTTGTCTCTATAGTAGGTGTCTCATATATGTGTATGTACATAGACACACATATACAATCTCCATTCCTAATAAGTAGTAATCAGTAACTTCCACAAAACAGGCACTCATATGGATATCTTATTTCTAAAGGGTGCGATAGTTCTAGTCTTATCTATAAGTTTGAATTTAAAATATTTTTTTCAATTAACTAATACCAATAACAAAAAAATATCTTACCATTTCAGTGATGAACTCTATAACAAGGTCTTCAAGAATATCTACTGATTCAGTATAAGGATTCTGGTCATCCCCAAACCCATACATCATACATCGTACTGTAAAAGAAAAATCATTCTTATTGGACAACTTTAATCACTTGATCAATACTTTTTTCAAATTAGAATTGAACCAAATTGCCCTGGTCAGGTGACTCAGTTGTGAAACATCCCATACACCAAAAGGTTGTGAGTATAAGTCCTGTCAGGACACACACCTAAGTTGTGGGTTTGAAACCCAGCGAGGGTGCATACAAGAGGCAACCAAGCCTCGCTAGTTTAGCTCAATGGATAGTGTCTGGCCTGAAATTATATAGTTAAAGGTCCTGGGTTCGGGTCCAGTCAAGTGCACAAACTTTGGTTGCAGGATCCTCCCTGGCCCCAGCCCTGGTCAGGGCTCGTGCAGGAGGCAACCAGTCAATGTGTTGCTTTCATATCGATGTTTCTCTGTCTTTCCCTCTCTCTTCTACTCTCTCTTAAAATCAATGGAAAAATATCCTCGAGTGTGGATTAACAACAACAACAACAAAATCATATATATATGTTTTTTTAAATAAAAACATATGTATGTATTTGTATACATATAAACACATATATAAACATATATAAAAACATATATATACTCACACACATACCATATATATATTTTTAAGAGGCAACCAATCAGCGTTTCTCTCTTTACTCTCTCTCTAAAAATCAATAAAAACATATCCTCGGGTGAGGAATTAAAATGAAAATTATAGAGCTCAGCCAGTGAGGCTCAGTGGTTGAGTGTCCACCTATGAAACAGGACAACAGGTGGTCTGCGGACCACTGGTGATCCGTGAGGTCTGAAAGGTTGGTAACTGCTGAACCAGGAGGTTAAGGTTCGATTCTATTCAAGGTCAGGGCACATGCCTGGGTTGTGGACTTGATCCCCAGTAGGGGTTGTGCAAGAGGCAGCCAATCAATGATTCTCTCTCATCATTGATCTCTCTCTCTCTCCCTTCCTCTCTCTAAAATAAATTTGTTTTTTATAAATATATTTTATTGATTTTTTACAGAGAGGAAAGGAGATAGAGAGCTAGAAACGTTGATGAGAGAGAAACATCGACCAGCTGCCTCTTGCACACACCCTACCAGGGATGTGCCCGCAACTAACATACATGCCCATGACCAGAATCAAACCTGGGACCTTTCAGTCCGCAGACCGACGCTCTACCACTGAGCCAAACCGGTTTCGGCTAAAATCAATTTTTAAAAAATATAAAAATATTAAAATTTTGATGACATGGCTAAAGTAATGTCTGGCAGGATTCTCCAAAAATAATAATGCCCTTATTATTTTTCCTGAAGATGTAGACTTCACTAGTAGGGAAATATATTTCACTGGAAAACATATTAGATAGGAAGTATGTAAACTGTATTTGGTTAAAGGGTCTGTGAAGACAAACAAATTCCTGTGAATGCTTTGAAAGTTTGTTACATTAGCAAAAAAAATTTTCTTTTGTAAAGGATCAGGAAAACAGGTCTTAGTAAGATATATTCTAGTAAGACAAGTTGTGAAGATTCCAAATTCTTGTCATCAGAAAAATGAAGCAATCCAAGAAGAATAAAATTTTCTGCTAAGAACCGACTGCCCAAGCATCACTCTGGAGTGCCCTAATGTAGTAATCCCCTTCGTACACTGATCAAAGAAGTAAAACCACAAACAAATGGAGTACAAACAAATCAGAAATGGAATAAAGAGCAGTCAGCTTTAGGTGGCAAACTGAGAGAGAGGAATTTGAATGGTAAAAAAAAAAAAGAGACACAGTGGCGTGCAGTTCCATGAGCCTTTGGGAACTGTTTACATCTGACTCAGCATCAACGAACCAGCTTTTCAAGTGCTGCCCTATTTGTCAATACTCAGCCATAACTATACGTTAAGGGAGCCGGAATGGGAGGTGAAGAGCAAATTCTCATGGTGCCTTTCAGAATCTGGCCTGGCTCACTCCCTCCTGCTGCTGACAAAAAGGGTCAAACCTGTCGCCCGAGGGAGTAGAATGGAGGGCGGATACATTATAATCTCTATGCCACTATAAGATCCTGCACTGTTCACCACCTTCCTGCCTTCGTCCAGCGCTCCAATTTAATTTCCAGGCTCAGCATGTTCCAGGATTCATCCTAACCTTTGGTCAAAAGTCCCTACTTCTCTGTGGTCCATATACACAATGGAGTACTACTCAGCATTAGAAAAGACAAAATACTGCTGTTTGCGGCAACATGGATGGACCTTGAGAACATTATGCTAAGTGAAACAAGTCAGTCGGAACAAGCTAAGAACCATACGATTGCATTCATATGTGGGATATAAAACTGAAACTCGTGAACACAAACAGCAGTATGGTGGTTGACAGAGGGAAGGGTGGGGGGTTGAAGGGTGAAGGATTTGACTGTAGGTGGTGGGCACACAGTATCTTGTATCACCTGAAATCTATATAATCCTAATACCAGTGTCACCCCAATATATTTAATAAAGACAAGTATAAAAATAGAAAGAAAGAAAAAACCCCACAAAAAACAAAAGTCCCTGCTTCTATTGCTGCAAAGGTGTGGGACAAGGGGAGAAATGGAGATATGTTCTTAGGTCTTGCTGAAACACTGATCACATTTCCTCACTTGAAAAAAAAAAAAGTGTGTATATACATTCTATAGAATAAAAGACTAATATGTAAATCCCCCCTCGGGCAGTCATTCGCTATATTGTATGCTGACCAGCAGGGGGCAGTGCATAACGTGGCGGGCATCAGCCAATGCGGCACTGGCAGCATGCAATCATGGAGGCGCTGCTGGCCCCAATAGTCCCTGACGAGAGTGGGACCAAGAGGGACGGAACTGCAGCAGGATGGTGGAGCAGGTGAGTGGGCAGCACCAGGCCAAAGCAGTGCGAGCAAGGGCCCAATTGCCCCACTGATGGTGAGGAGTGGCAGTGGCGGGGAAGGGGGGGGCGGGACCGCTGCCCAGCTCCCAGACACTGAGGGAGCCAGGAAGGAGGCCTGCTCCTATCGATTACCCTGTACAGGATGGTGAACAGGTGAGGGGGGGCACCAGGCCCAAGGTGGGTACCAAGTGGGGCTGCAAAGCTGGGGTGCATGAGCTGGGGCCTGATCTCTGCAGGCCGCCTGAGAGACCCTACTGGTGCACAAATTCATGCACCGAGCCTCTAGTATAGGGGTGTCGAACTCAATCAGAGAAGGGGCCAAAATCTAAAATCCAGCCTAAATCGCGGGCCAAATGGTTTACTGAACAGTCATAAACTGTCATTGTGATGGAAACGCAGCAGAGTGCAGTGATGACAGCGCGGTGCGGGCCAGATTGCAAGGCCTGGCGGGACGGATTTGGCCCGCGGGCCTTGTGTTTGACACATGTGCTCTAGTATTTATATATGTGTGTATGTAAGTTGTGATTAGGATCATCACTAGCTATGATTCACAAGTTAAACAGAACTGTACAGGCAAGTCTGAGAATAATATCCCTATAGGGAAATAATTCAGAACAATAAATCTATTTGCTTTTGTTTAAATATATTTTTATTGATTTTAAAGAGAGGAGAGGGATAAAGAGATAGAAACATCAACTAGAGAGAAGCCGATTGCCTGACTCCTGCACGGCCCCTGCTGGGGATCGAGCCCACAACCCAGGCATGTGCCCTGACGGGGAATCGAATGGGTCAATGCTCAAGCACTGGTCCACATCGGCCAGGCCAGAACAATACTTATTAATCCAATTTGAACACACATGTCCAAAAGTGTCATCATCTACAATAAAATACTTGTAAACATTACTTACATTCTTTAGAAAAAAGTCTCTTTCTTCTACCTTGCCCACCTTCTGCACCTCCTCCAATTTCTTCATTTTCTTCCTCAAACTAGAAGTTAAAATGCATAGAGAAATGTCAAGTCATTGCACCGCACTGATTTTTTAATACTAATTAACATTTCCCCTCCATCTTCAACACTGACATCAAGCAGCAAACACCCATGAAACCACAGCATGTTAGCCCAGCCTCCCGCTCAGGAAGCAACGGCTTTTAAAATGTCCCTAACAGAAGAAAAATAATAATAAAATAAAATGTCCCTAACAAAAAAAATAAAATAAAAATAAATAAAATGTCCCTAACAAATAATCCAACTGCCTCTCCCGGAAGAATCCCAGTCACTACTCTTCCTCCCCCCTGCCCCGCCCCAACCAACCATGGCGGCCTGCTGCTAGGCAGTTTTACTGGTCCAAGAGCTGGTGCTGAATCAGAGCGAGAACACACTGCAGCGCTGGGAACGCTCCTGGAGTAAGTCTCCGCCCCACTTAGTGCCATGAACCCCGAGAACCCAAATTAAGTAACTTGCTCAGGGGCGACAGAAGTTGTGAAACCCCAGCTTCCGACTTCCGGCCGGACTTGACAGAAAGCGGACAGTGAGCCGCTGGCTCGCGGGGAGCGCTCACACCCCCCCGCTCTGACCCCCGAGGGCTCTCTAGGCCTTATGAGGGGGTGAGGGGAGTCTGGCAGGTGCGGACCCAACGCAGAGGTAAGGGGCCGCCTTCCCCTTCCCCTTCACGTCCTAAAAAGGGAAGGGAAGGGAAAGGCATGGCACCGCGTCGAGCCCCCGGCTCTCCCGGCCTAAGTCTCTCAGGAAAGCAGACCCGACTCCGACCTCGGCCTCCGCCACGGCCCCCGGGGGAGAGGGAGGGAGGGAGGAGAAGAGCGGGTGGGCACAGAGGCGGTCACTCACAGTGGGGTCCTCTTCCTCATCCGCCATCCCACGGGCCAGCCCACGGCGCCCGGCCCGCCTCGCTCCGAGCCGGCTTTTACTACTTCCGCCGCCGCACTTCCGGTGACGCTCAGGCGTGGGCGGGGCCTAGATGGGCGGAGCCGGTCTGGTTGGGCGGGGCCCGCAGGGGAGGGGCGGGGCCTAAGGGCAGAGCCGAGACGCTCTTTAGGGACCTAGGAATGAGCTCCAGACTCTGAACCAGAAAGGAGGAATTAAAGGACAAAGAAACGGAAGCCCTGGCGGCGTGTACCTGGTTGGCACCCTAAATGTGCTTCTGCACGTGGGGTCACCATGTCTGATTCGGGGCTGCCAAGCAATGGATGGATGGTTATGGGGCTGCCCTAAGTGTGTGTGTAAACCATTTCAGCCACTTAGAGTTCCACTGTTATTCATGCCAAGCTTTGTGCTGGTTACTGGGGATATTGTTCTTTTTAACTAGTAAAGCTTCGAATTTTCAACCCCACCTGCCCTTCTCCAGAGAGGGGAGAAAGCCTGGGAATGGAGTTGATTGTACTTACATGAGGCATAAAAATCCCAACAGTAGGAGGTTCAGAGCCTCCAGGGTGGGGAAACACCCACATACTGGAAGGGGACCGTACCCAACCCCACAAGGACAGGCACTCTTCACTCGGACCTCCCAAATCGCACCTAATATCTCTCTTCACCTGGCTGTTCATTTGTATCCTTGATCATATCCTTGAATAGACTGGCAAACAAGTATTTTTCCGAGTTCTGTGAGATGTTCTAGCAAATAATAGAATACAAGGGAGAAAAGGGCACAGGAACCTCCAATTTGTAGCCAGTGGGGCAGAAGGTGTGGGTATCCTGGGGGCCGGTAGCAGGGGGACATGAATTACAGAGGTGATATGTGCTCTGGGAGTTTGTGATGGGGGAAGAGCATCCTTCCAAGAAGGTCTCCTGTGAGAAAGGGAGGTTTGGACTGAGGCCTGAGTGGTGAACGGAGTTAGCCAGTGAAGGAGGTGGAAAGAGTGTGCTGTGCCCCAGACTTACCCTGTCCTTTCCCATCCCCATGTCTTTGAGCACTTTTACTCCTTTCCTTTCTATTGAAATGCTGAATGCCTTTCGGGCCCAGCTGAAATGTCTGCTCCTGCCGAGACCGGTTTGGCTCAGTGGATAGAGCCTCGGCCTGCGGACTGAAAGGTCCCAGGTTCGATTCCGGTCAAGGGCACGTACCTTGGTTGCTGGCACATCCCCAGTAAGGGTGGTGCAAGAGGCAGTTGATTGATGATTCTCTCTCTCATCGATGTTTTTAGCTCTCTTTCCTCTCTCTTCCTCTCTGTAAAAAATCAATAAGATATATTTTAAAAATATATAAATTAAAATTAAAAATTAATAATATATATATATTTTTTTAAATAAATAAATAAAATAAAATGTCTGCTCCTCCATCAGGCCTTCCCTGAGCTTTCAGCCCAAAGCCCTTTCTCCCTTACACTCCCACAGTCCTGGCTTCATTTTCCTGTAACACTTCTCTCATTTTCCACGGTCTTTTCTGGTTATTTATACACCCACCTTATCTTGTCTGCTAAATCTTAAACTTATTAAGATTTGTTTATAATTTTGTTTAAAATCTTAAACTTGTAAGATTTTGTTATCACTTCCTTATTTCTCTTTGCATCTCTGAACTCCCAAAGGTTAGTGTATTCCTGACACTTCAAAGTCCTGGAACAAATATTTGCAGCAGAAATGAATGCCTGTTTGACATCCCTTTTCAAATACGTTGGAATTCAAATGAAGCTTTTGTCCTGAGCTGTGCCTTTGGGGACTGGGCTTACTCTTTGGTTAAACCAGAATGCCATCGTCATGGTCCCCAGGACTGATGAGTGTTTGTCACAATGACCGAAACCACCATAACAAACAGGCCATTGCTCTTGACTGACAGGAGTTTGGCAACAACAGCCATTCCTCCAGTGAAGGCTGAAATGAAATGAGGAGGACTGTCTGAATTGAGTTCCCAGCTTGGGGGGAGGGGGGGGGGTTGGGGCACGGCTCTACTTATTTCTCACAGTTAGGGTGCAAGAGCTAGTGACCCAGGTTCTGGCCTGATGTGAGGCTCTGAGGTGAAAGAAACATGAATGGGTGAAAACAAAATCATCAAAAGATCTGTGTCCATGACAGCATCCTAATCTGAGACTGTGATCACAGGAGGGAGCTTTGAAGTCAGACAGACCTAGGTTTGGATCCTCGCTGGCAATGTTATCTCACTCCTGTTCCTTCTTTGAGCCTCAGGTTTCGTCTTGAAAAAAATATTTGGGGAACTGATTGACATTGAAATTGGGTCTCAAAAGAACTGTTGGCCCAGAAAGAAACTCACTACAGACTGATTCATATGCCTTTCAGCATAACGATTATTGCTTGTCTCATTTTTTATCCTTATGTTTTCAGTAGGACATGATCTCACTCATCTAGGGGAAATGGTGAACAACATAGACTGATGAACAAGAACAGACCCAGAGATAAGGAGCCATGGGTCAGACTGTTGGACCTCAGAGGGAGGGTGGGGATAAAAGGGAGAGATCAACCAAAGGACTTACGTGCACACATATGAGCCTAACCAGTGGTCAAGGACAATGGGGAGGGGAGGGCATGAATGGGGAGTGGTGAGGGATTGGAATGGGGGGTTGAGGACAAATATGTGATACCTTAATCAATAAAGAAATTTAAAAAAATATTCGGCAAAATAGTGAGGAACAAAGATAATGTCCTTTACACACACATGCCTGTGCTCTGCTAAAATGTGTTTATTTGTATATGTTCTCCTATAAAGTTTGTTCCCTGAGGGTAGGGACTCATTTTTACCTTTATTTCTGCAAATCTAGCAAAGTGCCCAGCATGTAATATCTTCCATTTGGGTTTTTTTTGTCTGTTTTTTATTCTTACATTTATGTTTATTATTTCAAAGAGTCTGTCCTGCATCCTACTTTTTTGTTTGGCCTCTAGGAGGCTCTGGTGGCTTTTCTCCTGCGTGACCAAGCGGGCCACAACCAGCAGAGGGCCTGGGGCAGGCAGGGCCGGTGAATCCCTTCAGCAGCTTGGCTACCGCAGCGGGATCGTTAACCTTGCACTTTGATCTCCGGGGGACTCTGTCACTCTCTCGAAGGTCAAGTTGTGTGTAATTAAGTACTTCAATGTACAAAACGTAATCTGTGACTTTGTCTCCACCCATCCCCACCCCACACCCTACCCTCACTAAAAACTCCTCACTAAAAACTCTCGACAGCTTGTGTAAGTGTTGTGGGAAGCGCTGTCCAGATAATCCGATTTCTGGTGTCAGTGGCCGAGGGGATCCCAACATTACCTAAATACAGGAGAGAATCGAGACTCTCCTGAAACAAACAGGCAGTCATCTGAATGTTTCCCGACAGCGTGGAGTTTTGTGGCCTGAAATAGGAGACTCGTTTTTGTTATAATTTCCTTGTTTCATTTCCAAAGTTCAGACGCAGCCTGGCTATCCAGTTTTCCAAAGAGCCGAGCGGCAAGGGCAGCCCTGGAGGCCCCTGGGGCCCCCTCTGAACCCCGGGGGCCAGGGCTCTTGAGGGGAAGCCCGGGACCGACCAAGCCTCCTCTGTGGCAGGAGGGCTGCAGACACACCAACGTCCACAGCAGCTGCCACAGCGCAAACTACAGCGCAACCTGCAAGTCCTTACCTTTTCACCCGCAAAGCCAACAGGTCAGGTTACCTCCCAACACCTCTTCCGCGCCGGCACCCGGAAGAGATTTGGTTACCATGGCCACGCAGGACGCCTCCCGGACCACGCGCTTCTCCGGCGGAAGCACGCAAGCCCCGCCCACATAGGGTCCCTCGCTCGGCAATCTGCTAGCCGCCCCTGATTGCAATCGGCGCTCGCCTCCCTGCCCTTGCGTCTGCGCACTACGGCTCCTACCCGTCGCCGCGGCCGGGATCGGGAAGTGTCAAGCGGGAGCTGGGTTCCCCGACCTGCGCTCCTGCCACCGCTGATCCCGGACCCCCTAGCCAGGCCCGGGCTCAGCCGCCATGACGAACGGTGAGAGCCAACGCCCAGAGGGGAGGATGTGAAGGGAAGACGGTGGGCAACGTGGCGGGCGGAGCCGGGACTGACGTGGCCGCTCTCCCCGCCCCCTCCCCGCTCAGCCCTCTTGGCCTCTCTGGGTGCCCTGACCCCGTCCTCTAGATCCCTCCCCGAGTCCCTGGTGCAGTTACCATCTAGCACCCCAGTGCCTCTCGTACCCGCACCCCTTGTCCTCGGGCCCTGCCCTGTGCTTTCCCTTCTCCCCTTCCTAGCCTCTTGGAATGGCCACTCAGGGTGAACTATGGCTTTACCTGCTCAAGTTCAGCACCAGGGAAAAGAGGATTTTCCTCCCAGCCCCCCGCGTTCTCAGACTTGCTGAGAGGAGGCCCGTTATGAGGGCCAAGAAATCACAAAGGATCTCAAGCTCCACACTTTTGAGGGGTGAATGGAGAGCCTAAAAAAGTGTCTTCTGAAAAAAAAAAAAGTGCTCTGTTTGGGTGATCCCATTCCAAGCTTGTGTTATGTGTTAGTAAGGTACTGCCTCTTCTGAAGGATTGTGTCCATTACCACCCTGTTTATTTGACCTAATTTCCCAGTGTGTGGACACGATTTCTGAATTCCAGGGAAGGGCAGGAAGCGGGGCTTTTGTAGTCCGTAGAGTCAACCTTACAGGAAAGGAGAGAGCCTCTGAGGTGGTATGATTGGAGGAGCACAGGAGAGCATTTCTCAAAAGCACCCAAGACTCAAATTTCACCTCCTTGTGGATTTTGGCATTGTCCGCGAAAACTCATGGGAGGAGAAGACTAGCACATGAAGGTCTCATTCACCGTAAAGACTTGGTGGATGTGTTAACTTACTGAACTCTTTGTGAGTCCTCTCGGGTGAGACTGACCGGGAGGAGGCAGGGAGATGGAGCCGGTCTGAACTGGCAGCGGCTGTACATGACCCTGTTGGGGCTTCCTGGCAGTCAGAGATCTGGGGTTCCTAGGCACAGGAGAAGGGACATCACCCAGAGCAAGAAATCCTCTGAGCCAGGAAATAAGGGAGCAGCCTGACACATGATATTTACTGAATAAGCTTTAGTTGCCCTCCCCCCGTTTTGTGGATGACACCTATTTTCTTTTTGCAGTTAGGTGATTTATTGTACATATCCAAGAAATAGCTACGTTGACATAGAAGTGTTTCAAAGGTTCCCCCACAATTGTTTGACTGTGTTGAATTGTCGAAGCCTCGGGAAGATATACATCTTTTACAAGAATCTTGCTATTCTGGCAGAAATTTGGTTTGTAAGTGGAGGATCATGCATGAAGAGTAAGATAAACATAGGAAAGATGTAATCATACGGAGTCTAACTATTGCCATTTCCCTTAAGTTTCTCTTTTTGCCTTACCATTTTTTTCAACAGATACAGGCCTAAGGGACTTGGCTAATTACCTAGCCATTCTTTATCACATGAGTGACTGATAATATGTTTAATTCTCTCAAAAGAGACTCCAAGGATTTTTAGGGCTCTCTCAACCTCCTGCCAGCTCTGGCCATTCCTGGGAGGCCGAGTCTACAGAAAGTGATGCCCTTTTCTCAGGATTTCTAGTTCTTAAAAGGGGAGGGGAGAGCAGGGCTCAGTGACATTGCTGTAAGGGGGGTGCCTGCAGCCTTTGGGGACAGTAAGCTAACCTTGCTGGCCCCAGGACCTCGGCTCCCTCATGTCAGCCGTTGGCATGTGTCGAGGCTGTCATCTTGATAGTGTATCACTGTGCTCCTTGGCGTTCCCCAGCGGGACCACCTGCCCCCAAATGCTGAGCACCAAAGGTTTTCTTTCCTTCCCTGACAGTGTACTCCTTGGATGGGATTCTGGTGTTTGGTTTGCTCTTTGTGTGCACCTGTGCCTACTTCAAGAAGGTTCCTCGTCTCAAAACCTGGCTGCTGTCAGAGAAGAAGGGAGTGTGGGGTGTGTTTTACAAAGGTAAGAGCCTGTCTGCACCGGAAGGGAGATTGCATCTCTGGACACTGGGGTGCAACAAAATGCGGGTCAGATAGGCTGGGATTG